AACGGATTCAAGTTAATTCAAGGGGTTTATACTGGAATTTGCAACCTTCTAGTTGAATCATGCCAACCATATGTAGCCCATCACTACTAAAACCACCAGCAATCTTCTAATCACAGCTGTTCTGTTCCCCAGGCATCTGGCTCCACTGGGAGCAGGCAGTTAAACTCTAACAAACAGGTTTTCATACAGATCATTTATTTGGGTATCCTCAAATATAGACTTAAAATCATGGTGAGTCATGGTGAGATTCATCCTTATTTCATAATCTGTCCCATTTCCTAGTGTAAAATGACGGTAGATCTGTCCCCCTGTTCAGAAAGCATGCTTCTCTCCTCCGTGGCAATTCATAATGGTCGGGGCTTTGTTCTACACCTCAGGTGGGGCCTCAGTGGCCAATCAGACACACAGATGTGGTGACATGTCATGGACTACATTTCCCATAATGAAATCTCTCTCTACAACTCCCACAATGCAATTCCTTGAGGAGACAGCTCTTAATTCTTAAGGTAATTAATTCACTATAATTCACCATCTGAACAGCACAACAGCTTTGGGACAATAGCTTTGGGGACCTGCAAACCTACCTTTGCTTCACAGGCTACTGGTCTACAAACAAACCATGGCATTCAGATGGTGTTCAGCAAGACTTCTGAATGCACGCAAAACCTCACTTTGCTTATCGGGAGGATTCTTGATGTAGCTTCTCACAGTTTCAGATAGCCGAAAGTAGTGAGGAAGGTATCTCCAGGTGCTGAAGGAGAAGGTAAAGGTAGCCCACTGGATGTGAGGAATCCAGTCTTAGTAAACTACTCCATCCAGGTGAAAAAGCTGCTGTCCATGCCTTGCTGGGCAACCTTTCAACTAGCAAATCCCTCTCTCCGTTATTATTATTATTATTTTTAGAAATGCTACCAGAATGCTAAGAAGATGTTATCCTCCATGTTACCCTGGAGTGGTCCAGAGGTGGGATTCAGCCGGTTCGGGAAAACCGGATGCTAATTTTACATCTGATTCGCCGAACTGGTAGTTGCAAGAACTGGCTGGTCCTTCCCACCCTGCCCCTCCCCTCCCAGGAGTCTTCACATGGCCCGTTTTGGATGCCAGGTAAATGCAGGGCCCATGCGGAGGCTCTGGGAGGGCGAAAAATGGGCCTCCGGGAAGTTCCGGAAGTCTGGAAACAGGCCCATTTCCGGCCTCTGGTGGGCCTCTGGAGCCTGGGGAGGGCAGAAATGCTCCCCCCCACACCATGGTGCAAGAGGCCAAGTAGGCCACGCCCACCACAGTCACGCCCACCCAGCAACGAGGCAGAGAACCAGTTGCTAAAATTTTTGAATCTCACCCCTGGAGTGATCCCGTCACTTCCATCCTCTTGAGACACCACCTCTGCTTCTTACTGCAAAGGCAAATCGGGAGCAAAACCATCCAGAACACCCTAATTTTGGCAAACCGGAGCAGTGCGGAGGCTGCTTCCTGCAGATGCTGGAACTGCAATTTCATGATTTTTTTCAACTACCCTCCAAAACAGCAGCCAGATTGACGGCGACAGGGACCGGCAGGGAAGGAGAGATGGCGGGGATTTGGAAGGGGAAAAAAAAAAAAAAGGAATGGCAATTAAGCAGGACTTTGAAACTGCAGCAAATATATGAAGTGTTCCTTCTTTTTTAAAAAAAAATAATAAAAAAGAACGAAGAAAGAAAAGAAAAGCAGAATGCACAGGAGACAGATAAGCGCATTATCAAAAGGTCAGACGTACCAAAAAGGAAGCACAGGAGAGACTGCGGAGAATGGCAGCTTATTAAAAAAAAGAAGAAAATCACCTTATTCATTCAGAGAAACTGTGATTACTGGAGGTTTGAGAGAGGACGAAGATAGTAGATGTTCCCGAAGAAGGAAGACGCCGGGTTACCTGGTTTGCGATGAGACAAAAGGAAAGTGGGAAATTGGAGACACAGAGAGAGAGAGACAGAGAGAGAGAGAAAGAAAGAGGGAGAGAAAATCAGGCAGCTGGAAAAAGCAGGGCACAAAATAATATATTACAAATTAGTTTTTTTAAAAAAAAAAACCTCCGGTGCGTTTTTTTTTTTATGGTGGAAAAATACTGATAATAAAAGTTGAGAACGGAGGGGGACGTGTTAGAAAGAAGCCGTGAGATTAGGGCTGGGGTGGTGGGGGTAGCTTTTAATAGGAAGGCTGTCAGTAACCATGGCATCACAATGGCGATTTCTTTAAAAAAAAAGAGAAATAATGGGTCCTTTTTTTCTGCACCGTGTTCCTTCTCTCGGCGTAGTAGTCAAACTTGAGAATTTAACTCTCTGCAAAAGTTTGGAGTTTGCAGCAGTCGGTCAAATGGGAAGCCAGACATTTGAGGCATCTCACGCCTGGGAAAGCGTGCTCTTGGACAAAGAGGCTCTATTTAAGGTTCAGGAGATCTGTCCTGCTGTGATTGGTGAGAGAGTCTATGGAAATTCTCCACCATCCAGGTCACGGTTGTCTTTTTCTGAAAGGCAGCTGGATTTTCCTGGGTTATTTTTTTTTCCTTCTTTGAAAACATTTTGCTTCTTCAGTTCTAACTTCAAACAAACCGGAAGAAGAAGCTTCTTGGATGACAAGTGAAACTCTTTGAAAGAAAACAAAAACCTTCAAGAAAGTCCAGTTGTCTTTTGGAAAAAAGCACCTTTGGGACTCTAGAGACACTCTGGAAGGCCTTCTAGGCTGGTGGACACCATCATTTTCAGGCTACAGTAGGTCCGCTAAGGAAGAGTCAAGCACCTTTCACCCATAATGGTAAAGGTAAAGGTTCCCCTCGCACATATGTGCTAGTCGTTCCCGACTCTAGGGGGCGGTGCTCATCTCCGTTTCAAAGCCGAAGAGCGAGCGCTGTCCAAAGACGTCTCCATGGTCATGTGGCCGGCATGACTCAACGCCAAAGGCGCAAGGAACACTGTTACCTTCCCACCAAAGGTGGTCCCTCTTTTTCTCTACTTGCATTTTTTTTTACGTGCTTTCGAACTGCTAGGTTGGCAGAAGCTGGGACAAGTCACGGGAGCTCACCCCGTTACACGGAGGCACTAGGGATTCAAACCTTTCGATTGACAAGCTCCGTGTCTTAAGCCACTGAGCCACCGCGTCCCACTCTTTCATCCATACCTCCCACCAGAAGGTCATCCCAACCCAACCGGAGATGGTTCTACAAGGGAGGGGAAACATCTCTCGTTGTTCCAGTGGCAAATTTTGCAACATGGCGTTGCAGCCTCGTCCACCTCTCTTCTCTTGCCTGTTTTCACATTTGAAAATGGGAGGAAATGAACACTGTCATCGTGAAGAAGAGATAGAACCACACTGTAAAGTGTCCTTCCATAACCTTAATCAGTGGTGGGATCCTTCCGGTTTAACAACCGGTTCGGGGATCGTGCGCTTCGCGTGCGCAGTTCAACAAAAACATCATCTTCCGCGTTAGTGCTAGGGAATTAAAACAGCTGAAGCAAGCAATCAGCTCCACCGCGCTAATCAGCTGCGAAGATAAAGGTAAGTAAAGCACAGGGACGGGCGGGTGGGCAGGCTGGCGGGGTCAGCTGATCATTGGAGCTACCGGTTCGCACGAACCTGTCTGAACTGGTAGAATCCCACCCCGGTGGCTGTGTACATTTCTTATTATATACTCTAGCAAAAACTACTCTTCCAACATATATTCTGTGTGCAACGTTTACTGGAAAACTTACATTACAAGCCAACACAAAGCACAGGTCCCCGTTTTACAACGCCCTGTAATTAAACCAATCCCTTTCCCCAAAAAAAGAGGATCCTTCTAACATATCGAACGGAACAAAATCCCTCTAGACAGGCCCAACTGCAAAATCTTAAAAGACAAAATAATAATAATAACAATAATAATAATAACAACGTCTCGTATTCGTGCCACAGTGTGGACCGAAACCACAGCGTCAGTATGAAATAAGCATCGTAACAGGACTGATATAAAAACGCTGATCTCAGTTTAGTGAAATCCCAGTGAAGGTTTCACTCTCCAGCTTTTCCTCCCTCTCCTCAACTAACTCACCATATCTTAAATGGCCTCCCCTCCTTTCTCCCTTCTCAGGTGTGACCCAAGTAGGTCACCCTACCTAAGTTGCCTCAAACCAAGGTCAGAGGTAACCTCCTTTTCCTCCAACTCCAGATAAGGCTGGAGAAGGACATCAATGAATACCCCAGCCATAACTATGCTCCGAAGTTGCATAGATGTTTTCAGCCACGGTCCTCTTGGGTTCACTTGACTCTAGGACCCCAAATCTGACAAAAAATCAAACTCCTTGAAAAGGCAGCTTGATCCATACAAACCACAAACACTGACAATGGACTCTTCACTGAGACTCAAGCTTCAATGCCCATTGCAAAGCATGAGATGGTGAGAAACTCAGACTCCTAAGGATGTCAGCTTTAAAAATTCAACCTGCATGTTTTGGGGAATGGATCTCCTGCAGGAGGAGATGGGAAAAGCAGGGCGTTCAGACCGGTTGAGAGCCTCCTAGACTAAATTCTTCTTTCTTTAAAACCATGCACGACAGAGAAATATTTATGCCGTGCTTCGTTCCTGCTGAATTTCCCTAAAAGGCAGAGTCTGAAATGGGAGGTTTGGCAAAAACGTAGTTCTGGAAAAATAAAACCTCTCCCATATTTCAGACCAGTCCTGATCGGGATGGATTCTCCCACGATGACATGGTGGATGGCTAATCTATCTTCAGACCGAGAGATGGGGAGATTATTATTTTTCCACAGACTGCTAAACACTAGCTACCCATCTGTTGCTTGTCCACTGTAGCCGAGGTGGGAATTGTTTGAACATTCAGGAGAAAGTAAAAAAAAAAAAAAAAAGATATATATATATATTTTTCAGAAAACACAACAACCACAGGGAACACCTGTGTCCATGGTTTCGCTTGAGGCCTGGCTTAGAAGAGCGGGATCCATTCTTCAACTTCACAGGTTTTCTGCTCCACTCTTACCTCGCTGCTTCTCCTTTTCAGGTGTCTAAATACGAGGCCGATGACCTCGGGAAGGAGGGAGATGAAGATCAGGCAAAAAATCGCCAGCCAGGAAGAGGCGAAGGACAGCAGCTGGGCGAAAACGTGATGCATCCTTTGTTGCTTCAAGAAAGGCCTGGGAGGAAAGAAAGAGGGGACAGAGGGAGAGAGAAGGAGGGAGAGGGAGAGAGAGGGAGGGAGAGAGAGGGAGAGAGGAGGGAGGGAGAAAGAGAGAGAGGGAGAGAGAGAGGGAGAGAAAGAGGGAGGGTGGGAGAGAGGGAAGGAGGAGGGAGAGTGGCAGGAGGGAAAGAGAGGGAGAGAGAGGGAGAGAAAGAGAGAAAGAGGGTGAGTGGGAGAGAGAGACAGAGAGAAGAGGGAGAGAGAAAGAGGGAGGGAGGGAGACAGAGAGAGAGAGAGAGGGAGGGAGGGAGGGAGGGAGGGAGGGAGGGAGAGACAATGAGAGACAATGAGAGAAAAACAAAACAAGAGAGAGACATGCATCAATTCTGCATTTGAGCCAAACAGGTTTGCATCAACTGGGTTAATTACGACAATTACGAATCCTTTGTGCGAGGAACTGGGGTCAAGATTCCAAGCCCATCTTCCCTGTCCTGAATTAACTCATCCCCTTCTGCAAAGGTATGTGGGGAAGGCCTCGGGAGACTGGGCCAAGAGACTCGGCCAAAGGAATGGTCGGAGAAGAGAAAGCATAGCCTGCAGCTGTAGAGCCGGTAAGGCAAGAAGAGACCGTCCCTAGTTTCTCAGGCTGTAAAAGAGACGGCAGGAGAATTGAAAGTTTCGGTCCATTTCGCTTTACATTAAAGTAGAATTCAGCTCATCTGAATTCATCTGGGATTCTTTTCTGGTTCACCCCACGAGGTCAGATAAAAGACAAAACAGCCTGCAGCTGTAGTGTGGGTAGGAGGAAAACCTCAGGAGAAACCCTCCCTAGTTTCTCAGGCTGTAAAAGAGGTGGCGGGAACCTAGCTGCCAATTCTGTCCCTCTGGTTTTACATTAAAGTAAAATTTGCTCGTCTGGGTTGGGATGTTTGTCTCATAAAGACAACACCTTTCCCCCCAACCCAATCCTCTAAGACGGTCATCTCTGAAGCCATATCAGTTTGGAGGTCAAGAACATCCACCTCCAACATTTCCTTCTAAACCCCCAGAGATTATTAAAGTTGGGGTGCCCATCCGTTTCAAACTGACTTTGGCTTAAAAAGTTTAGAACTCTGCAGAGGAGTTGACGAAGGGACCACCTCGTGCTGTGCTGGGGAAACCATGAAGTCTTGGCAATGCTTACCAAATGATGCCTCCCCAGAAGAAGGAGAAAAAGACATAGAAAATCAAGGAGCCCCAGATGACAAAATGGTTCATCCATGTCCAGAACCGAGTATCTAATGCCAGCTATGAAAAAAAGAAAGAAACAAGAAATTCAATATTAGAATAGAATAACAGAGTCGGAAGGGACCTTGGAGGTCTTCTAGTCCAACTCCCTGCTTAGGCAGGAAACCCTACACCACTTCAGACAAATGGTTATCCAACATCTTCTTAAAAACTTCCAGCGTTGGAGCCTTCACAACTTCTGGAGGCAATTTGTTCTACTGATTAATTGTTCTAACTGGCAGGAAATTTCTCCTTAGTTCTAAGTTGCTTCTCTCCTTGATGAGTTTCCACCCATTGCTTCTTGTCCTGCCTTCAGGTGCTTTGGAGAATAGCTTGACTCCCTCTTCTTTGGGGCAGCTCCTCATTCCTACCTCAAGTTCATATTGCACTGATTTTTATTGATCCTAATCAAATCAACTTCCAGTCTGGCCTCTTCAAGATGAGTTGGCTGTTCCCATCATCTAATTAGCCTTGAGGACAGGTGTCACTTGGATCAGGGCAAGAATTTAATCTCACCAAGATCTGTAATATCAGACCCAGCTTCTCATCATTCCTATCACCCATCTCCTCCCACTTATGACTGCAACTTTGTTGCCTGTATCCTTACGATGTATATTGATATTGTTTCCTGATTGCTTATTTGTACTCTATGACTACCATTAACTGCTGTACCTTATGATTCTTCACTAACGTATCTTTCCTTTTTATGTACACTGAGAGCGTATGCACCAAGACAAATTCCTTGTGTGTCCAATCACACTTGGCCAATCAAGAATTCTCTTCTCTTCTCTTCTCTTCTCTTCTCTTCTCTTCTCTTCTCTTCTCTTCTCTTCTCTTCTCTTCTCTTCTCTTCTCTTCTCTTCTCTTCTCTCCTCTCTTCTCTTCTTCTCTTCTTGTATCCTATGACTATCATTAAGTGCTGTACCTTATGATTCTTCACGAACGTATCTTTTCTTTTTATGTACACTGAGAGCGTATGCACCAAGACAAATTCCTTGTGTGTCCAATCACACTTGGTCAATAAAGAATTCTCTTCTCTTCTCTTCTCTTCTCTTCTCTTCTCTTCTCTTCTCTTCTCTTCTCTTCTCTTCTCTCTTCTCTTCTCTTCTCTTCTTGTATCCTATGACTATCATTAAGTGTTGTACCTTATGATTCTTGATGAACGTATCTTTTCTTTTATGCACACTGAGAGCGTATGCACCAAGACAAATTCCTTGTGTGTCCAATCACACGTGGCCAATAAAAGAATTCTGTTCTGTTCTGTTCTGTTCTGTTCTATTCTAAGGTGAGTATTTTAATAATAATAATACAAAAGAAGAACGCTAACCTTTAGTGTGACTGTGAATACCAAGACAGTGAAAACCATTGTCCCAAATGTCCAGAGTCCTGCCATCTGAAAAACACAATGACAAAACTTGCAATTAAGAAATTCTGCTGGATACTGCCTTGAAGACAACAGTGCCTGTAAAATAAATACAGGTTAAAATAAACACATTTTAAAATAAGATGTAGCCACAAGGATCATTGGCTGGGTGACTATTCCTTTAGAGACGCATCGAAGAGACAGAGGTAACATTATGGCCTTTGCTGCCACACACAAGCATACACACCAAGTGCACACACAAATGCACGCCAGTTGCTATTGCAAAGAATTAAGACTTTCGGGCCTCACCTTTCCATTGTCCTCTATAGAGGCAGATTGAAAAAGGAAGTAAGCACCAAAAAAAAAGACGCAACCGTCAAAAAGGCCCAGGAAGGTCCAGTAGACAAAAGGCTTCAACTGGAGCATAGCGTTGTCAGAAACATTCCTACCAAGGAAAACATAACATTTTGACCTCAAATACAGGGCCAAGATATCAGAAATGCAAGCTGCATCCCCCACACCCCAAATGTCTTCCAAAGGAGAAATGAAAGCTCAGAAAGACCTTGAAAAAGGAGGTCAGTGAAATAAGACCAAGGAACTCTCTCCCTGCCTGCAAGAGGAGGAGGAGGAGGAGGAGGAGGAGGAGGAGGAGGAGGAGGAGAGGAGGAGGAGGAGGAGAGGGGGAGGGGGAAGGGGAAGGGGAAGAGGAAGAGGAGGAGGAGGAAGAAGAAGAAGAAGAAGAAGAAGAAGAAGAAGAGGAGGAGAGGGAGGAGGGGGAAGGGAAGGGGAAGAGGAAGAAGAGGAGGAGGAAGAAGAAGAAGAAGGAAGAAGAAGAAGAAGAAGAAGAAGAAGAAGAAGAAGAAGAAGAAGAAGAAGAAGAAGAAGAAGAAGAAGAAGAAGAAGAAGAAGAAGAATCTCATACTCACAGATACAACTTTGGGAAAGTCATCAATACATCAATAGGGACATGTTGTTCCAGGAGACTGTAGGCCACTATTGGCAGAGAGGTGAAGCAGATGTTGAACATAGTCAGGTAAGCCGCATCATAGAGAGGCTGGAGTGGAAAAGAGGAGGACTTGAGCAGACAATCATTTTCTGTGGTTGATTTAAATCTTTGCTCTCACCCAGATACAAGATGGTCAAATAAGTATGGGAATACAATTATTTGACCATCCTGTATTCCAATTTTATATCTATCTATCTATCTATCTATCTATCTATCTATCTATCTATCTATCTATCTATCCATCTATTTCCTATCTTCTATATCATCTATCTATAAGCTATCATCTAACAGCTATCTATCTAGCTATCATCTATCTATCTATCTATCTATCTATCTATCTATCTATCTATCTTTCTTTCTATCTATCTATCTATCATCTATCTATCTATCTATCTATCTATCTATCTATCCATCTATCTATTTCCTATCTTCTATATCATCTATCATCTATCTATCTACTGTATCTATCTATCTTCTATCATCTATCAATCATCTATCAATCATCAATCAATCATCTATCTATCTATCTATCTATCTATCTATCTATTTATCTCAATATAGTTATTGAAAAATCGTATATATATATATATATATATATATATATAGCATCTGATTTATTGAATAAAGGAAGATAAGCCCCATTCATGGTTTCTTGAAATGTCCAGGGCAAAAGGTGTGAAAAAAAATACAAAAGTTGTCTCCAACACATAGATTCTTTTCTTAGCATAGACACACAACGATTCATCCACCTGATCATCGGCAATGTCACATTTTTTTGCAAGACAAACAATCACTCTGTGATTATTATTTTTTGGGCAAAACGCCTAGAAACTTTTTTGAGGGACAAGTCAAAGCAACCAAAGCAAAGCGGGTTTTGCATTGTTGCATTCTACTTGCAACGTCCCGAGGCCTGGAAAGATGAAACCAAGTCCCTCCGAAGCAGCAAAATCCCACTTGTTGAGTCCAGCTGGACTAAACACGCTGGGACAGGAGGACCTGGTGGAATCATCCATCTGTTTTGCTCATTGTTTCCTCCCGAATGAGATTTTTCTGGAACAATGGCTCGTTAGCAAGCCCTAGCTAATGAGGCCGCCTCAGTGGGCCTCACCTATGGAGGACAATCAGGCAGTCAGAAGGAGGAGGAGAAGGACTCCTTCTGGGTGAAAGGAGCCCAAAACTGAAGTCCTTTGAGGGCAGCTGCAGCCCACTTCCTCCTCCAAGGACGATGGGGACAGCTGCAAAACGAAAGTAAGTGGGCTGCTCTGTCGTTCAGGAAATAATCAGTTCAAACCTGGAGTTGCTTGGACTTCCCCCCACACGCACAATGGCTCCCCGTTCATCCGTTCACACCTGCCCTTTGCAGGAGAGTCAGTTCAATGCAGGAGTGGTTTGGGTTGCAAGGGGTTTCTTTTGTTACTGGGGGTCTTTTTTTCCCCAAAAGGAGGGAGGAAGGGAGGAAAGGCAGAGAGAGAGAGGGAGGAGGGTGCCAGCAGCTGCATTTTTGCAGGACAAAGAGGTAGGCTGAAGGACCAGCTTCTCTGTTGGGTTGACAAGAGGAACCATTAAAAAAAACCAAAAACAAAAGAAGACAAAACGGAAGGCGTGATTTATACAAATGAAGAGAGCTTCTTCTCTCAGTCGTTCAAACTGGAAAGGGATACAGACTGGCCCTCCTTCGCAAAAAAATAACACCAAACTTCCAATCCCCGGACGTGCAAAGAAAGCAAGAATTTTGTCGCCCAAAATTACAGGTAGTCCTTGACTTATGGCCACCAGTGATCCCGGAATTTCAGTTGTGAAGTTGTTGCAACTGTGGAATCCACACGTGACCAGACTCGATCTTATAACTGTTTGAGGACGGGTGTTAAATGAATCTAGTGAAGGGAAGGACCGGGGGAGACAGGATAGCAGTCTTCCAATATTTGAGGGGCTGCCACAGAGAGGAAGGGGTCAAGCTATTTTCCAAGGCACCCGAAGGCCGGACAAGGAATAATGGATGGAAACTGAACAAGGAGAGATTCAACCTGGAAATAAGGAGACATTTCCTGACAGTGAGATCAATGAACCCATGGAACAGAAGTTGCCTTCAGAAGTTGTGGGAGCTTCATCACTGGAGGCTTCCAAGAAGAGATTGGACTGCCATCGGTCAGAAATGGTGTAGGGTCTCCTGCTTGGGCTGGGGGTTGGATTAGACCTACAAGGTCCCTTCCATCTCTTTTAATCTGTTAATCAATTGATGAATCACGCAGTAAGTGATCCATTTCATTGTTAAGTCCAAATCCAACTTACGCAAGGGCATCTTTGGGAGCGGGGAAAATGGCAAAACACGTTGCACCATGTGATCCCATCATCACCACGAGATGCTGCAGCCAGTCGTAAATGCGAGACGGCTGCCCAGCACCTAAAATGCGATTGTGTGACCGGCGGGGTAGTACAGCAGTTGTAACTTCTACAATGGGACGTAAGTAACTTTTTGGATAAGTTTCTTTGAACTGGTTTTGATCACAACGTCAATAATGACGCCCACCCAATCCACGTCAACCTACCTGCTGTGAAAAGCCACAGAAAAACTGATATAAAAACTGTGGGAAAATAAAGCAAAGGTTCTAAAAGAAATAGGGGGGGAGGGGTGAGGGAAGAGAGAGAGAGAGAGGGAAAAAAAAACATGTTAGTAAGAAACTCAGATGATGCAAATGTTGTTTTTGCCGCATTTTAAAACTGAGAGTCAGAAGCCTTTAAATATATATTCTATCCCAGCCTTCTGCTCTCTACTTTCAGCTGTGAATTCCCATCAAATTGGCATGGTGGTGGATGGTGCTTAGGTTGTTCACACCATTTTTCAATTCTCTTGGTTAGTTATTCTTTATTAGCAGATCATCTTTTGCATTAGACTTTTCTTGCTTATATCTTCATGTCCTTTTTGCGGAGTAGAGTAGAGTAGAATAAGCATATAGAATAGAATAGAATAAGCGAATAGAGTGGAATAGAATAGAATAGAAATAAAAAATTAGAATAGAATAGAATAAGGATATAGAATAGAATAGGTGAATATAATAGAATAGAATAGAAATAGAAAATTAGAATAGAAATAATAGAATAGAATAAGCAAATAGAATAGAATAGAAGTAATAGAATAGAATAAGCAAATAGAATAGAGTAGAATAGAATAGAAATAATAGAATAGAATAAGCAAATAGAATAGAATAGAAATAGAAAATTAGAATAGAAGTAATAGAATAGAATAAGCAAATAGAATAGAATAGAAATAGAAAATTAGAATAGAAGTAATAGAATAGAATAAGCGAACAGAACAGAGCAGAACAGAACAGAATGGAGAATAAATAGAGAGGGGAGGGGAAGGGAGGAGAGGAGAGGCGAGGAAGAAGAAGGACGTAAAGAGAAAAGGAGAGAGGGGAAGGGAGGGAGGGAGGAAGAAAGGGAGGGAAGGAGGAAGAGAGAGGAGAGAAGAGAGAATAAATAGAGAACAGGACAAAACAGAACAGAGAACAGAGAAAAGAGAAAAAAGAAAAGAGAAAAGAGAAAAAAAGAACAACAGACTAGAAATAGTCCTCAAGTTATGACTGCAATGGAGTCTGCTAAGCAACTGGTCCTATGTCGAGGACTACCTGAACATCAGTGTGATGTACAAAAAGGGCAGGTCCTGCACTCTATCCTTCTGTCCACCATCATTCCCCTTTTGCCCCCTACCCCAAGGATATTGCTGGTTCTGCTCCCTCCTCCCAAGAGTGTTTTGCTTCCCTGCTAACCCTCTGCTGAGCATCCCCCCCAACGACTGGCAGTGGCATAGTCCCCCCTGCCTGCCTTCCCCTTGACCCCTCCCCCCTCCAAACCAATTCGCCATTCCCTTTACCTTATAGAAGAAATACTGTACAAGATGGGATATTCGGACATAATACAAATGCCCGTGACCCAAGAGCAATCTTTTCAAGTGTTTAAACTTGGGGATGGCATAGTCGCTGTTCCGGGCAGCTTGGCGTCCCTCTTTCCCCTTGATACCTGGCCAAGGAGAAGAATGGAGCAGGGTCAACCTTGCACATCAGAGGCCTCAATATCCTGATCATCCAGAACTTTATAGAAGCTCTCTCAGCCTGGCTCCTATGTGTTGTGGAGCTCATGTGCGCCATTTCCTTTGACCTGGGGTCTCCAAATGTGGCAACTTTTAAGACTTGTGGACTTCAACTCCCAGAATTCCTCAGCCAGCCATGAATGATAGAGTTGGAAGGGACCCGAAGGATCACGTAGTCCAGTATTTCTCAACCAAGCCAACTTTAAGACTTGTGGACTTCAACTCCCAGAATTCCCCAGCCAGACATGAACGATAGAGTTGGAAGGGTCCAGAAGGATCATCTAGTCCAGTGATTCTCAACCTAAGGAAATTTAACACTTATGGACTTCAACTCCCAGAATTCTGGGAGTTGGAGTCCACAACTCTTAAAGTTGCCATGTTTGGAGACTCCTGCCTTTGACCAACACACTCCCAGAGGGAGAAGACCCCACTATGGGTCAAAGCATCCCTCACCGATGCCCACGTGAGCTTCCAAAATCATGCTGACGTCATTGGCGCCATCTCCAACAGCCAGCGTGATGGGACTGCCTTTGGAATTCTTCACCATGCGGACAATCTATGGGGAAGAGACGGATGGTGGATCAGGATATGTTGGTTGAGATATTCCTCACCCAACTTTGAGCCAGCTTCCCGAGGACTACACCACCCTGAAGACCGAACTCAAGAACAGACCAGATATTTATGGTCGTTGGTTTCTCCAAAGGGGTGCCTTCCAGCATTCACACTGAAGAAAGGATGTCTCGTGCCAGGTTCTGCTGGGACAGGAAATGGCTTGGCTCACTTACAGAGGACATCAACACACCTGAGCCTTTTGCAACGGGGCCATCCGGCAGCACAAGATGGCGGTGCACTTCAGGCAGATCTGAAGGAAGATGTTCTTGTAATGGGAGAAGTTGGAATCTTGCGAAGGGTTCATGATCAGGGAAAGGGTAGCCCCCTCAATGACCAGTCCATAGTCGGAACCCAATGCCCAGTTTCTGAAACAGAGAAGGGAAATGTTGGTTGGAGACCTTGATATCACCCCAGCTGTAGTCAAAAGAGCCAAGGAGGAAAAATTGAGGATAAGTGATAAGTCAAGGAGTAGCAACCCTTCTATTCTTCTGGCTGTTTTAATCCCTATATGAGTCAGATGTGTAGGAAAATGTGTTTTATGTGACACTTAAATGGGTTACCCTTCTTTAGCTGAGAAGGAAAAGAGAAGAGATGGAAAAATAGCAACTCTGGATTCTCTGCAAGGAAGACATTCCAGGCAGAAAGACAAGGAGAACTCAAGATACCAAGCAATGTGATTTAATGGGACCAAGGCAGGTCCAACTGAGATGAGATCAGCTCTTACAATAAAAGTGGATGCACTAGGAACAATGTCAGCTCCAAATACCTCAGGCCATAAAAGACCATCCTTATGGATGTCTCCTCTCTGTCTACCTCGAGTTCAGAGGTCTCCAAATCTGGCAACTTTTAAGACAGGTGGACTTCAGCTCCCAGAATTCCTCAGCCATGGATGCTGGCTGGGGAATTCTGGGGATGGGGGGTTGAATTCCACAAGTCTTAAAGTTACCAAGTTTGAAGGCCTTCTCCTTAGATTACTGCAAAGTGCCGCAATGGCAATTGAGCCATCTCCTAACCCTTCACACATCGGTGCTTCTCAACCTTAAGTATTTTAAGAGGTGTGTGTCAACGGTCCGACTAGCGAGCTCAAAAGAAGTAGACACTCTCGGGATCTTTTAATTCCCCAAAGTATAACTTTGTTGGATACACCATCTCGGAACTGCAGAAGCAAAACCAGCTCTGGTTTACTCATGTAAATGTTTACACTTAGTTAAACAATAGATTCCCTTCTTCCCCACCGCTGGGTGTTCATATTGTCCAATTATCAATCTTCCTTTTGTTATGGGAACAGTCCATGTCTCCATCTAACACCTGCAGTGGTGACCTTGGGGAGGTTCAGGCTTTCCCAGTCCGTAGACAAAATCTTAGCATTCCATTTCCCCGCCTCCACCCTCCCATATGAATGGCAAGTTGACGAGCGATAGAAGCTCAGAAGTAGCAAAGCGATTCGATCTTGACAGTGTGGACTTCAATTCCCAGAATTCCCCAGCCTGCACCCATGGCTGAGGAACTCTGGAAGTTGAAGTCCACACCTCTTAAAATTGCCGAGGTTGAGAAACAGCGCTTCGGTTACTGCTTGGGGTCCCCACTCACTTCTTCCCTTGGGGCGCGTCGGTCACCAACTTTTTGTGGTATTCCATCAGCAGTTCGTGAAGCTGCTCCATTTTCCTGTCTCCTTCCTCCACCGTTTTTGCCGTCAGCAGCAGCAGCTCCGTGTTGGTGTGGAAGAGGCGACTCGCGTAGCAGGTGGCTTGGGCCGTCTCCAGCTTGTCCCCCGTCAGAACCCAGATCTTCATGCCTGCCGCGTGGAGGGCCTCGATGGTTTCAGCTGCAAAATCCTGGAGTCTGCAGGAAAACCAGTGGAAATGACTCAACCAACCGGTGGGATCTTCCTCAAAGCTTCCTCTCTATTTTCCCCTTCTCCCCCCCCCCGAAAAAAAATGACAAATCACTGGGTTTCTTTTTAGGAAAAGGGTCCTTCAGAACACGTATGTAGCAAGGAAGCAGTTGAGCTACGTACACCAACCCACTGAGGGCAGCAAAGACGAGAAAAACATGTAGAAGAATTCTAATCTGGACCAACGCAAAATTAAAAGTGGGCTTTCTTCATCCACTTCTCCAGTTCACAGTTTAGAGGGATTCCTCCCCCACAATTTTTGAGACTTATTTACCAGTGTTCCCTCATCTCTATCTTCTGGTCTAGAAGTTCCATCTTCTGTAGCTAGCTTAGGTACTTAACCAGGGGTGGGCTTCAAAAATTTTAGCAAGGGGTTCTCTGCCCGGTTGCTGGGTGGGTGTGGCCATGTGGGCATGGCTAGTTGGCCTCCTGCACCACGGCGGGTGGGGGTGGGGGTGTTTTTGCTCTCCCTGGGCTCCGGAGGCTTTCTTTGAGCCTCCAAGAGGGCAAAAACAGCCTCCCCAGGCTCCGGAGGCCCTCTGGAGGCCAGATACGGGCCCATTTCCAGCCTTCCTTAACTTCCGGTAGGCCTGTTTTTCATCCTCCCCGAGCCTCCGTGCACACCCTGCACTTACCTGCATCCAAAACGGGCCACGTGTGGACTCCTGGGAGGGGTGGGGCAGGGTGGGCGGGGCCAGCCAGGAGTGGGATTTGAGGGTTCTCCAAACTGCAGAGAATTTTAGCTAGAGGTTCTTCCGAACCCCTGCGAACCCCCAGCAACCCAGCGGGGCTAAACATATGAACATGTGAATGTTTTTTAAAATGTTATCTAATTTTAGGTTCTATTTAATTGGGCCAAACTATGTTATAATAATAATTTTAATTAGCAATTTTATGATGTTTGTGTATCTATATTTTTCTTGACTGTACACCGCCTTGAGTCCTACGGGAGAAAGGCGGTATAGAAATATAATAAATAAATAAATAAATAAATAAATAAATAAATAAATAAATAAATAAACAAATAAACAAACCAACCCACCCTTGTACTTAACCTATGAAACATTTCTATCATAGCATCCTTGGCTGGTATGAGTAGTGGTGGTTATTACAGCGTAGGATACATGAAATCATTCAAGTGGCAAGCACATCCTTAATTCTGCAGTTCGGGTACCAAATTTAGTTTAAAAAGCTTTTTAAAAAGTATCATGTTGTTTATTCCCTCTCCTTCCCAAATGCCCTCTGCTCCTTGAAAAAAAAAATGAGAAGGGGTGTTTAATTGGGTAGTCCCCACATTTTCCGAATGCTCTACAAAGCATGCCCTTATTCATGGGGCCAATAAACTGGCAATTTAAACATTTTCCACTTGAAGAGAAGAATCTGGGCACACCATACTGCCATCTGATTAAAGCTGTTGGTGTTGGGATTTCAACTGCCTTGGAAGGCACGATGGGTTATCTGAACTACCCAGTGGGGCTTACTTGTCTTCTACAGCAGTGGAGCCAATCAGACGCATGTCCTTCTCAATATCATCAAAGACTTTGGCCATCCTGGCTTCTCGGTTGTGTAGGGCCACGGTGGCTTCCTTAATCTGGGCCTCTAGAACCTTGTAGACCGCAGCAGATATTTCTTTGTAGGCCACACAGAGTGTCCGATATCCATCCTGAGAGACAACAAGCAGAAGATGTCATCCCTGAAGCCAAGCCATTCCAGGAGAGAGGCACCCAAAACCATTCTGAAATACAGCCCATATAATGGTGGCTTTTCAAAGCTGGCTGGGACTGCCACTTGCTAAAATGACATGAAGATGCAGAGAATACCCTGGATTGATCTTATCCATGGCCGGAGCCAATCGCAGAAGGCTTTTGCCCTCTTAATTCTAAAATATGCCCTTTTGAAAGAAGGAAGGAAGGAAGGAAGGAAGGAAGGAAGGAAGGAAGGAAGGAAGGAAGGGGGGAGGAGGAGGAGAAGGAGGAGAGGAAGGAGAAGGAGAAGGAGAAGGAGAAGGAGGAAGGAGAAGGAGAAGGAGGAGAAGGAGAAGGAGAAGGAGAAGGAGAAGGAGAAGGAAAAGGAGAAGGAGAAGGAGAGGAAGGAGAAGGAGAAGGAGAAGGAGAAGGAGAAGGAGAAGGAGAAGGAGAAGGAGAAGGGCTCCACCAATTTCTTTCCTTGGGGTTTAAATTGAAGATGATGGAATCCTGAACGTCTACAACCCCAGCAGATCTCAAGGACATACCACTGCATTCTGTTCCACATGGGCTTTTGTCCTTTGTGCTTCAGCCTCAGGGACCCTTGGGAAAATTGAAGAATCTGCTCCTTTGCAAAACAGGTATATCCTTCCTGAAAGACAGGGAAACAGAACATTTTGATGTAAGTTAAGGCACAAGGGATACATCCACACCCCCATGTTCCTCTGAGGAAAACAGAGGAGCCCAGAGAAGTCCACATGTCTTAAAGCTGGCAAATCTGGAGACCCCTGAATTAGAGCATTGGACCCTATCAAGGTTGGAGATATTCTGCTGATGTCAAAGTTGGAGATATTCTAAGTGTCTCGGTGTTGAAGAGTTGATTAAACAAATAGTTATGGCTGATGGGGTCATTAAAAAAAAACCCTTTGCCCCCTTGCTTACATCCAAAATTCAAATTCAGAATAGAGCTGGAAGGGAACTTGGAGATCCAAACCTGTGTTCCAGCAGAAGACCTTACACCATTTCAGACAAGTGGCTGTCCAATCTCTTCTTAAAAACCTCCAGTGATGGAGCATCTACGACTTCTGAAGGCAAGTCGTTCTTCCAATTAATTATTCTCACCGCCGGGAAATTTCTCCTTAATTAATTCCAGGTTGGTTCTCTCCTTGATTAGTTCCCATCCATTGTTTCTTGGCCTAACCTCTGGTGTGTTGGAAAAGAGGTTGACCCCTTCCCCTTTTCTTTGTGGCAGCCCCTCAAATACTGGAATATCATGTCACCCCTAATCCTTCTCTTCTCCACACTAAATAAAGTAAAGGTTCCCCTTGCACATACTGTATGTGCTAGTCGTTCCTGACTCTAGGGGGCGGTGCTCATCTCCATTACAAAGCCGAAGAGCCAGTGCTGTCTGAAGACATCTCTGTGGTCATGTGGCCGGCATGACTCAACGTTCCTGACTCTACGGGGCGGTGCTCATCTCCTTTACAAAGCCGAAGAGCCAGCGCTGTCCGAAGACATCTTCATGGTCATGTGGCCAGCATGACTCAATGCCAAAGGCACATGGAACGCTGTTACCTTCCCACCAAAGGTGGTCCCTATTTTTCTACTTGCATTTTTTAATATGCTTTCGAACTGCTAGGTTGGTAGAAGCTGGGACAAGTAACGGGAGGTCATCCCGTTACGCAGCATTAGGGATTCGAACTGCTGAACTGCCGACCTTTTGATCAACAAGCTTAGCGTCTTAGCCGCTGAGCCACTGTGTCCCTTTGAGCCACCGTGTCCCTTCTCCAGACTACCCATACTCAAATCCTGCAACCATTCTTCAAATGTTTATCCCTATGAATACTTCTCCCGGAAAGATAACATGGCTTAGTTCACACTCTTCCTCCTATCTCAAAGGATATCCCAGGTTTCTACTCACCATCCGGCATCTTCACGATAACGCTCATCCGGCGACGGACACAGTCAAAATCAAGGACATTCAGAAGTTCATATCTTGGGTTTTTTTTTTAAGGGAAGAAAGAGAAGGAATATTTAGTGGTGAGGAACTGATAGGAATTCTAACCCCATCAAACTCAAACAAGAAAAATGCCAGGCGTGAAGAAAATCAGGACCGCACGTTAAGTTCCAGCGAAGCCCATTTATGATTTATGCTAAATCATAAATACAAAACACAGACATAACTGGAATAATTCAAAACATAAAGGTATGTGTAAATACAAGCAAGATTACTTGCAGAACAGAATTGCAGAAACATTCCTTGGAAACCATATTAAAAAGCTATTTAGGCATCAGAGGTGGCTTCCTTGGAGGAGGCTAACTTGCAAACGCACCTACCTCTCAATTTGCTTTTGGGAATTCTCTACCGTCATGAAGTTATTTTCTTGTCCTAGAAAAGTGAAACCATACCTGTCAATGAACAAAAAGGACAGAATGGCGTTGAAAAAAAAAAAAAAAACCAACGCACACACAGTCACACATGCACACACGTACATGCATCATGCAGGCACAGCCTTTAGGTACCAAAAAAAAAAAAACAAAAAAACCCCCCAGCGGATTAAATAAATAAAACAAAGTAAAATAAAGATCGCGGAAGAGGGAGGTTGACCAGAAAGGCGATTTTCGGGTAGGGTTGTTCATGGGCTATGGAGCGGAGGAGGCCGGGAACATCGCAACGAGCACGGAGTTCAAGTTTACAAAACCTTCGGCTCTTTTGCCTTTCGCTGGATGGTTTCAAGTTTTCACATCCTATTTTCACGAGTCCTCGACTTATTCAGCGACCGTTCAAATTTGCAACGGTGCTGAAAAGAGCGACTTACAAAACTGGTCCCTGCACTTAAAACTATCCCAAAGTTCCCGTAGTCACCTGATCAAAATTTGGGGAGGCTTGGCAACCGGCCAGTACTTCTGAAAGTTTCGTGTTCTATGGCCGTGATGGCGAACCTGTGGCACGCGGAGCCATATCTGTGAATACACGAGCCGTTGCCCTAGCTCAGGTCCAACGCATATGTGCGCGCTGGCTAGCTGGTTTTCGGGCCTTCTGGGCCCACCGGAAGTCGGGAAATGAGCCGTTTCTGGCCTCCGGGTTGGGTGGGTGGGGAAGGCTGTTTTCGCCCTCCCCAGGCTCCAAGAAAGCTTCTGGTGCCTGGGGAGGGTGAAAAACGGGCCTACTGGGCCCACCGGTAACCTTTTTCGCGTGCCAAAAGCAGGGGGAGTGAAGAGGGGGTTGCATGTACATGCGCGGAGGGGCATAGAATTATGGGTGTGGGCACGTGGACACGTGACCCCCTGCGCTCCCCCTGCTTTTGGCACGCGACAGCAAAAAGGTTATCCATCACTGTTCTAGGGTCACCTGAGTTTCGGACTATCCCAGCTGGCTTCCCGCAAGCAAAAGTCAAAGGGGGGAAAGCCAGATTTGCTTAACGACGGTGCGATTCGCTTAACCACCGTAGCAGAAAAGGGTTGTAAAATCCGGCACGACTCACTTAACAACCCCCCCTCGCTTAGCGACTGAAGTTCTGCTCCCCACTGTGTTCATAAGTCGAGGGTCCTTGCATTTTAATTTCAGAAGTCAAAAAAAAGGAGAGTCTGCCTTCCCTACATTAGAAACCACTTCAAAATGAGGCATAATTCTAATTTTTCACACCGAAAGCACAATCAGTATTGAGTGCCAGACTTACACTTGCACTTCTCTTAGGAAACCTATCACCCTGGCAGATGTTAATGGCAGTTCAGAATTGCTCTGCGTAAGTTTTGCACTGAGATTTGTACAGAAAGTTCTTGAATCAAACCCAAATCCATCTTTATTGTGGTCCATTTGAATTTTGTTCCTGGCACAAAAACACCAATTGGATATAATGGATTCATTTAACAACCAAATTCGCGTAACCACCGTGGCGTTCTCTGAAACGACTGCCACAAAAAAAAAATATGCAAAGCCGGGCGTGGTTGTGTGATACTCACTTAATGACCATGTTGACATACGTCTATAGTTCTGGGCTCAATTATGGTCGTAAATCAAGAATGGTATGTAGACTGGGGGGGGGTGGTTACGGGAACAAATGTCCCGGTGAGTCAATCGTGCAATATATCAAAATTCTCAGCCTCTGAAGATGGAATTGGCCATTCAGTGTCTGCATGAAATTGGGAGGGAGGGGAAAAATAATAGTGTGTGTGTGTGTGGGGGGGGGGAATGGCCTTACTTTTGAGCCCCCTGTAGCAAAGCCACTTCATCCGGAGAAGCTGCAACGTAGATTCGTTTCGTTTTGGGCTGCAATGTTACTGCATCGACTTCGTCTTTTTGCTGGACTTGAACCGTATGGCAGAGACACAATGCTCGAAGGAACAGTTCTTCTTGTCTCTAAAAAGGAGGACAACAAAGAGAAGAAACGACGTTAAACCGGAAGGCTTTCAGGTCCTGCAGTCCAAGATGGCTTCTGAACACGGGTGAAATCCAGCAGGTTCCGACAGGTTCTGAAGAACTGGTAGCGGAAATTTTGAGTAGTTTGGTGAACCGGCAAATGCCACCTCTGGCTGGCTCCAGGAGTGGGGAGGGAATGGGGATTTTGCAATATCTTTCCCCCAGGAGTGGGGAGGGAATGGAGATTTTGCAGTATCCTTCCCCTGCCATGCCCACCAAGCCACACCCACCAAGCCACACCACGCCCACCAAGCCACGCCCACAGAACTGGCAGTAAAAAGAAATTGAATTCCACCACTGCTTCTGAAGAAGGTTCTGCTCCAACTGTCCCATCTTTTCTGTCCCATCTTTTCAACTGTCCAACTGTCCCATCTTTCTGTCCTCAAGTCAAACCTGGGGGAGATGGGTCACCACGATCACAGCCTTCACCCTTGGATCTACTGAGCTGGACAGTTGGGCATCAACATTCTTAGCCCTGCCATACTGTGTAAAATATTAAACCAGCTTAACTTAAATTTTAACTGGATAGACTGTCCCTTCTCCTCACCAAGGTCAATGGGTTAATGCAAGCAGGGATAAACCCAAAGGTATCAGGGCCTTTCTTACAAGGGCTATGGGTCTTCAACCTCACAAGAGGCACTCTGCTTCCTTATTGACTAGAGGTTCTCCTGAACATTTGTAGAGATCTAGAGAGTGTCCTGACCTAGGCTTCCTTAGAAAGTATACAGCACAATCTTAGTCCCGGCAAACCTCCTTAATTCATATAGCTGTGAATTATTGTCATTCCTAGTCTGAAAGGCTTCTCAAACAGTCTTTCAGGGGAGTGTTTACAAACACCCATCTTATCTCCCTTGGAATGCTGCCAGAGAACTAATTGCCACACGCAGGGCAAGGCCAAACTTAGCACAGAGTCAAACAGAGCTTTCCCAGAGCTTTTACCGACCAGATGAACTGATTGCTTCCTGCAAAGGCTCACGTCCCGTTCACTCCTCTTTTATGTCTTATGGGAGGGGCCAATCATCTCCAAGCCTTACTCCCAAGTCGACCCTGTTTTCTTAATTGTTCCTGTCTCCTGGCAGTTCTGCACATCCGCACACTGGGAACAGGCTCACGCTGTTCTTCTGCCTCGCTGATGTCAGACTCCGGAGACTCCGGAGGCAGCAAAGAACTACCAAATGGCCTTGGCCCCCTCTCTGCCTCTGACTCAGAGCCCTCGTCCAAGCCCTCCCCAGACTCCAGGACTGGCCCACATTCCTCCCCAACCTCCTCACTGTCCAAATTTGCTGCCAGCTCTTCTGGTCACTGGCAGGCCCACAACAGAGGCCTGTGTAGGCCAAGCAGATGCAGCTATGAATCCCACAAAAAGGGGCATCTAAGAAATCAAAAGAAGCCCAGAAGTCTTTTCTGTTCTCCAACCTCCAATGCTAGAAATGTGGAAAGGGAATGTTGTACCCTGTCTGCTTTTCCTGTAGACTTCTTTGAATCCACTTGTGAAAAGGAGTCGCAGTAACGGTAGCCGTCAATGCTGCACTCAATGAATTCCATGGTGTTTTCTGTTAAAGTCCCCGTTTTATCCGAAAACACATATTCAACCTAGAAGGAAAAAAGAAGACCGTTTCCTTTTTTTTAAAAAAAAAGAAAACAAAACAGGGGCACAATTTTAGAACAGATTAGATAGGCACAATTTTGTGTCCCAGTGTCTGTGGGTTTTCCCCCACCTTCCCAATAGTGACATTTAAGATAAAACAAAGTCAGCAGTAACCCTTGCGCAAGGAAGGGAAGTAATAAAAAAGAAATTAAGCGGTTCCATCTTCAGTTCCCCTTCCGTCTTCCCTTCCTTCTTTTTAAATGTTTGTATCATATATTGTGTTTCAAGGGATGTGCTGGCTCAGTGGCTAAAATGCTGAGCTTGTCGATCGAAAGGTCGGCAGTTCAGCGGTTCGAATCCCTAGCGCCGCGTAACGGGGTGAGCTCCCGTGACTTGTCCCAGCTTCTGCCAACCTAGCAGTTCGAAAGCAGGTAAAAAATGCAACTAGAAAAATAGGGACCACCTTTGGTGGGAAGGGAACAGCATTCCGTGCGCCTTTGGCATTGAGTCATGCCGGCGCTGGCTCTTTGGCTTTGAAACAGAGATGAGCGCTGCCCTCTAGAGTCAGGAATGTCTAGCACATATGTGCAAGGGGAACCTTTACCTTCACCTTATATTGTGTTTCAAGATATGACAAGTTCCGGAGAGGGGCAACACAAATCTTGTTTTTAAATTGGAATTGAAACTGGAGACTAAAACCAAGAGAAAGGTCTCTTTATTAAGCTCCAAAGATAGCTTCTTTATGGAGAAGCAGCTACGGTAGAAGAGTTCAACCAGATGGACCTACACCACCTGCAAGAGTAGCGTTCACCATTATCTGATTTGAGAACCATGATTAGTTTCGGTTGGTAACAAGAAATCTACAGAATAATAAAAATTGGAAGGGACCTTGGAAGTCTTCTAGTAGCCCAATCCCAATCTATGTTCACTATTATTTGATAATAACAGATGCCACGTGCATTTTCTGTAGAGGAACAAGACCAGCCAACATTTGCCTCTGTTGGAGGGTGGAAGGCACAGGGAGACATCACTAACCTGTCCAAGTTCTTCGTTGAGGTCAGAGGTGTTCACCAACGCGCCTTCTTCGATATTTTCATCGTACATCTCTTTGTCCCAGGTAATGAAGAAGGAGCCTAGAAATTTCTGCATCTCGACAGTGACATACATGGAGACCGGGATAATGAAGTTGAAGAGGACCATGAAGGACAGGAAATCGGTGAACATCTTTAGCAGCTGAAAAGGACACAGACACACACCGAGGAAGAGGGGTCAAGGCACCCGTGCATGGAACAAATCTGAATGTAGACAAGCGTCAACCCAACACAAGTCAACCGATCTACCTTGAAGGCTTCTCTCTCTTTTTGGGTTTTGGGGTTGTACCAGGGTTCGTCGTGATATGGGACACTCTGCCAGACGTATTTCAAAGTAGTACATATGATAGCTTTGCTCACCAGCAGGCATAAGTAGAACAACAGGAATATATTGATCGACCTGGAAAGTCAAATGTTCCAAGAGTTAGGGCGATAACGTGCGTTTCACAAACAGTATGCACAACGGGACGAAAGAACTTGCTCCTGGCAATGTTAAAGCACTGGCTGGACAGATGTTAAACCTAAAACCAGGGATGGGCAATGAATTTCCTCAATGGGCCACGTGAGAACCTGGGATTGTTGTGAAGGGCTGAACCAACACGGCGTGAAGGTTCGTAGACATGCACGCGTGTACATACACAAATTGGAAAAATAAACAGCAGTTGCCTTCAAAATAAAAGCAATCCATGCAGCCAAAGGGCTGAATATGGCCCAGGAACTTTAAAATAACTAGGTCCGATCCAAAGGTGCTTTTTCAAGAGGCAAATGGACTTTCTGGCTTTTCTTTGAAGACGTTTCGCTTCTCATCTGAGAAGCTTTGAAGAAAAACCAGAGGGATACTGCAAAATCCCCATTCCCTCCCCACTCCTGGGGGAAGGATACTGCAAAATCCCCACTCCCTCCCCACTCCTTGGGGAAGGATACTGCAAAACCCCCACTCCCTCCCCACTCCTGGGGGAAGGATACTGCAAAATCTCCATTCTCACCCCACTCCAGGGGAAGGATATTGCAAAATCTCCATTCCCTCCCCCCTCCTGGGGGAAGGATACTGCAAAATCTCTATTCCCACCCCACTCTGGGGCCAGTCAGAGGTGGTATTTGCCTGTTCTCCGAACTACTCAAAATTTCCGCTATCGGTTCTGCAGAACCTGTCAAAACCTGCCGGATTTCACCCCTGAAATATGATCCATCAACAAATTGATCCATCAACAAATCAACTAATTAATGAGATCTCATTAATCAGTTGGTTATCTGAAAAGGCTTTCCCAGCTCAGAACTTCCGCCGTTAAGCTGAACTTATTTGCTTCTGAAGGTCAGGGGTGGGGAATCTGTGATTGTCCCTGGGTTGAAAGGATCCAACTTCGGGAATTACGGGACCCCTTAGCCTGAGTCCCTATCCCATCTGCAAATATTAATCCCCTCCTGAAGGTCTGAAGAGAGCATAGAAGACACCACAATGTTTTGTACACAAACCAGACCCAAAGAAACATCTCTTTTGTTTTGCTTTAAACAAATGTTTATAAAGACGAAGAGTGGGGGAAGATGTAAGCCCTCCAGCTTACTTTTCAACCGCAGAGCGTTTCTGAGTCTTCCCTTGGTAGTTCAACGCCATCTTGGTTTCCATCCCAGTATATACAGCGACTCCTGAAAAGCAAGAGAGAAACTCCTTAACAATGAAGAAGCAGCAGAAATGTGTTTAGATACCAGATCTATCTTCTACATGTCTAAAAAGGTAATGGAAAATGTTCACCTTGTACATATGCGCTAGTCGTTCCTGACTCTAGGGGGCAATGCTCATCTCCGTTTCTAAGCCGAAGAGCCAGCACTGTCCGAAGACGTCTCCGTGGTCATGTGGCCGGCATGACTCAACGCCAAAGGCGCACAGAACGCTGTTCCCTTCCCACCAAAGGTGGTCCCTATTTTTCTACTTGCATTTTTTACCTGCTTTCGAACTGCTAGGTTGGCAGAAGCTGGGACAAGTAACGGGAGCTCACCCCGTTACGCGGCACTAGGGATTCGAACCGCTGAACTGCTGACCTTTTGATCGACAAGCTCAGCATCTTAGCCAGTGAGCCACCGCGTCTCCCTTACTCCATGCCTACTCCAAAGTAAATCCCAGATACGACTCACAAGAAAAAAACCAATGGATGGGAAAGAGAAGCAGGAAAGCGCCTTTGCTCACCATAAATCTTTGGTGTGTTTTTCAATTTTGCTCCTTTCAGCAAAAGGTTCTCGGGACCCAACGGCCTAAAAACGAAAAAGGGAGGGTCAGAACATTGGTAAGAAGAGAAGCAACTGGATGAATGTGTGCAAAAATGAGCGGAGTTAGCAGAGATGGTTAAACGGACTGCTTGGATTACAGCGGAAAAAAACACACCACACAATTACTTTTAAGTTGGAAACCACTTCTGGATTTTGTGCTTGAGGTGTAAGAAAAAAAAAATGAAAATTTACCGATTGGATAGGTTTGTTGTTATAGAAATAGCTAGTTTACATTGCTATGTAAAAGTAAAGAAGTTGAGATTTGATGCTATTATTCTACTGCACCGAAGGAAGTCAGAAATCCATGCCTTTTCTTTCTTTTTTCCCTTTGACCTACACTTTTCCTTTCTCCTCTCCTTCCCTTAACTTTCCCACTATTTTTTCTTCTCCCTTTTTCTTTTTTTTTTGAATTTTATATTATGAACTAATAAAGAGAGGGAAGCAACTGGAAAATTCCAACGGCCAACCATTGGTGGAAGAAAAAAAAACCCCACAACTATTTAGAATATGACAAAGCTACGAAGTCCATTTATGACAACTCAGTAGATGGGGAATGTGTAAAATTAATAAGTGGGGGAGAGAAATAGAGGTCAGAGGCAGGGATGACAGGACTACTGTAGTTGGACTTCAAAAATTTGGATGACTACTAAGATGGCAGCCAAAAGTTAGATTTTTCTGTATCACACAACTGATATCTAAGGGACAATCTGGATTTCTCCATCCTCAATGTGATAACCCTTGATATTAAAAAGAAGCTGTGTCAGCCCTTTGATGTAGAGCAAATCAGAAAACATATCTTTTAGAACTGTGATGGGGAACCTGTGGCACGCGTGCCACAAGTGGCACGTAGAGCCATATCTGTGGGCACGTGAGTGTTGGCCTAGCTCAGCTCAAGCGCCGACCAGCTGATTTTCGGGCCTTCTGGGCCCACCGGAAGTCGGGAAACAGGCCATTTCTGGCCTTCGGAGGGCCTCCGGGGAGGTAGGGAAGGTCGTTTTTGCCCTCCTGAGGCTCCAAGAAAACCTCTGGAGCCTGGGAAGGGGCAAAAAATGGGCCTTCCTGGCCCACCGGAAGTTGGGGAATGGGACATTTCGGGCCTCTGGAGGACCTCCAGGGGGGCGGGGGAAGCCATTTTCACCCTCCCCAGGCTCTAAGAAAGCTTCTGGAACCTGGGGAGGGCAAAAAACAGGACTACCAGGCCCACTGGTAACCTTTTTGCTGTCACGTGCCAAAAGCACGGGGAGCGTGGGGGAGGGTCGCACATGCATGTGTGGGGAGGCGTGGTGTGGGAAGGCATTGAATTATGGGTGTGGGCACATGCATGCGCCCCCCCCCCGCCCCCCCCCCCCCTTTGGCATGCGATGGCAAAAAGATTAGCCATCACTGTTTTAGAACTTTAGGGATATAGGCTAAAATAACACACAATTGTAATCCCAACGATGTTGCACTTATACCAAAGAGAATCAAGGTGAAGCCTTCTTGAGTTTCTTCCTCACCTTCCTGTTTTCCCAGATTCAGGTCCTTGTTTCCCTTCCCTTTGCCACACATACTGTACCTTCTTCAAGATTATTCCCATACTCCACTACAAGTTACAAGAGGTTAAATCCCAATCGGTCAAGCGAAGGAACCCACCTGGCTAATGGTTCTGGTTCATCCGTGTAGATGTTAATCCTGCCCACAAACCTGTTGGGACATGAATAGAGGAGGATGTTGATAAGAGTACTGTCAACGGCTCATTTTCGTATGGGAGTTACAGCCATTTAAATTTAGAAGGAAGGAAGCGAGGAAGAGTGGTGAAGCAGGCTTGGGAAAGGAATAAAAGACTATCGAGCTGTTGGGTTCTCCGCAAAATGAGAAAGACTCCACGTCAAACTTCACCTGTACAAATCTGGCTGGGGCTGTTCGCATTCAACAGTGGCAACCAAACGATTCATGGCTTCGACTGTATTCATCTTGGCTGTATCGTGCACGGCATAGTGAGTCTAGAAAAGCAAAAGACACACACACAAAAAAAAACCCTGAAGAACCAGCAGCAGCCAAGCAACTCCTGCGAATTTCACATCTGTAATTCGAACCACGGGATTCACTCCTATCTTGTCACCCCATAAGCTACTTCGAGCTGCATAACAATTTTACTGAATGTTATTTATTTACAAAAATGTGGACATAAAAACTAACATCGACTAATAATCGGGGGAAAAAAAAAGACCTAAAAAAGGAAAAAAGAGAGAGAGAGAGAAACGGAGGTGCAGGAAGATATAAAGCTAAAGAAAAACTTGATTATGTTGTGGCCCATCAGCGGCCTGTGCAGATTGTAGCTGATTCCGACAGCGAGGAGGCTGGTGTGGTGCTGCGCCAGCAGCCTGTGCAGCTGGCACTCAAGTCGGACAGCGAGGAGGCTGGAGAAGATGTGGTGCCAGAGGCTGGGATTCAGCCAGGGCCTTCAGAACCTCCAGAAGCTCCCTTAAGTGAAGAGGACGAAGAGGAGGAGCCTCTTCTCAATGCACGGGCGCGCAGAGCTGCCAAAAGGCAGGAGTGGCTCCTCAGGAGGAGGTCTCCTCGAGAGTAAGGCTTGGGGCTAATTGGCCACTCCCTTAGCCTATTTAAGGAGGAACACCGACTGAAGCAATTTGCAGGGAACAACTTAGTTCACTCTCCTTCGCGTCCTGATCTTAGTTCTCTTATCCGTTTCCTGCAAATTGCTTCTGGGCTTTCTGCCAACCACAGTAAGATTACGATTATTTATTCTTTGGATTCTTGTAGGCTGTTAAGAAAGTTAATGGTAAAATGATTAATTTTTAGATAAAGATGATGTAAACAAATATAAAGAAATATATGTTTAAAAGGATAAAATAATGGATAAAGTATAGTAAGATAGGGAAAATTTGGTCCATCTTTGGGAAAAGTTGATACTAAAGAAATAATTGTGAAAAATTAAATGTTTGAATGACTGTACTTAAAGTAAAGGGTTTCAATAGGTTAAAAAATTGTGATAGGTAAAGATAAGGAGGTGAGGACGGATGGTAACATCGATTATATATTCTATAAAAAATATAGATAAAAGGGGAAAAGTAGAATATTGGCAGAAATTGGAGTAAATATAGTAAATATGGAGAAAATAAGCTGTATGAAATTTTGACTCGGTCAATACTCTGTTCAGAAATTATGTATTTTATGTTCGTGTGTCAGAGGAGACGATTTTTAATGATCCACCCAAGAAATGCAGGCGTTAATTTTATGCAGCAATGAGTGAACAAACTTTATGGTGGGAATCAAACCATTCCGTGATTAATGTCAAACTTCTTGGCTGTTCATTAGATGCTCAGTTCCACTCCGACTTTTAGGTATTTACAGGAACAAAGGAACTATGAAAAATGATAGGGGAAAGCAAGTCCCAGCTTCTAGTATCACTTTTATGTGATGCCTCCGAGTTCAACCTGTCTCCTAAGTATCTCTGGTGGACCTCACTGATCTGCTTGGAAGGATGCCCAGAAGAGAAAACCAAGGTCCTCCAGGTGGATTGGAGGGTTGAGTGGTTTGTGAGAATGACCTTGGGGGACAGAGGGAAGAGCCACAGAGTAGACCATGATCAAATAAGAGGCAGCTGAACCCGCAGAAGTAATGGAGCATGGCAAACACCTCACAAGGAGGCCTTCCTACTTTCTTGGGTTGTGAAGACAGAGGAGGGGCTTCAGATTTGCCAGATTCTGTTACTGCAACCTTACAATAAAGTGGAATTAGTTCATCTCACAAGGCTGATATCAGGTATACTGGGAACAACTTCCCGCTTTGCTTCTGACTATTTGGTGACCAGCTCTGCCCTCACCACAGCGGCCATTTTAGACAAGCTTCTCCATGTCGACCATTTTGCAAAACTCTCCTCTCTTCATAAAGCGATAAAACGTCGTCTACCGGCACCACCTCTTCCCTCGAAGCTCGCCTCAACTTCGTACGGACGATCCTCCGAGCTAAATCAAGAGGCTTACACCATCTTTCATTCTGACTCTACATCTGGGAGTCCAACTCATTTCAGAACTGAATTGCCTTGCTAACTGAGATGATCAGGACTGTCAACATTACTCTGAGATTTCAGAGAGTAATGTTGGAAAAGAAGAAGGTTTCGCATCCTGCAGTTATCAGGAAGCGCCTTTAAGAGGCTAAACACAGAATTTAAAAGTTCCTCTTTTGTGTGTTTGTGTGTGTGTATATGTGTGTAGGAGATCCTATTTCCAGAAACTGCTCAGGAGTTATAAATCAGTTCTGTCGGCAAGACCTCTAGCCGGTGATCCATCTTCATAAACAAAACTCTTGCCAAGCTCATTATTTTGAAAATTTTCCTCCTTTTCGGTGGAACGAGACACATTTCTCTCGCCCGAAAAGTGCGAAATGATAAATCGCATTTGAGGAAAGAAACTTCTATTACAAGCTAGGGTAGAGCCCAAAGGCCCTACCCAACTAAAATTACACCTGTGATGGAAAGGCCTATTTTATTTAAAAAAACACACACACTATTTTTTTTAAAAGCATTTTCTGCATTTTTTGATCTGTTTTGTTTTCTAAGATACCTGAAGGAAGCAAATTCATTGGAAGTCAGCATAAGAGACGCTTATTCAGGTGTTCATTCTGGATAGAATAATCAACTGCGTGTAGGAAAGGATGGATGTAGCAGTTAAAGCGCCAGTTTAAAAACTCTGGGTTCTAGAAGAAGACACATTTAGATCTCTTGCCAAGAAAACTGCAAGGGTAAGTTCACTTGTCCTCTTACCTTGTGATTTGATTCTCCATCTAGACTGGCAGTCGTGACGTAGCAGGTCCCTTCTTTGTTACTTGAGGCCAGTAAAACTAGATCACACGGAAAAGTTTCATCTGCCGGCACTTCTACTATGTCGCCAACCTCAAAGCCGAAACAGGGAGTTGTAATTTTTGTAAAAACAGTCTGTTCATCAGTCTCTCTGTCAATCAGTCTGTCTCTCTGTCCATATCTATCTATCTATCTATCTATCTATCTATCTATCTATCTATCTATCTATCTATCTCTATATATCATCCATCCATCCATCCATCCCCCCTCTCTCTCTGAAATTCTCAAAACATCTATCCATTCATCCCTCTCTCTCTCTCTATGAAATTCTTAAAATATCCATCCATCCATCCATCCATCCATCCATATCTATCTATCTATCTATCTATCTATCTATCTATCTATCTATCTATTATCCATTCATCATCTCTCTCTCTCTATTTCTATTTCTATCTCTATCTATCTATCTTCCATCCACCCATCATCTATCTATCTATCTATCTATCTATCTATCTATCTATCTATCATCTATCTATCTTCCATCCACCCATCCACCCATCCACCCATCCACCCATCCATCCACCCATCCATCCATCCAAATGGTCCATTCTGCCTGTTTATCTATCTTAACCTTGGCAACTTGAGGGTGTATGGACTTCCACGCATCTTAAAACAGTATTATTCTTCAGAACTGAGGAGAAACCTGTCCCCCACTCCTGTTACCTTGATCTTGTCACACTCCTTCTTCACACTTTCTCCATTTTCAATCACAAAGACTACACTTTTGTTGACTTCCTTGTCCGCTCGGTGCCGCAGCCAGTCCTCATATCCCTGAAGAAACAAGGGGGAGGAATACACAGACCAGAAAGCTGGAAAAATCCAATCCCAGAACGGAAGGGACAGAAGACATGGGCTCCACTTGTTTTAAAAACGGCCTTCCAGATGCCAATCCCTTTCTCCCTAGCTACAAGAGCACCCAGCTGTAACGAGATAAACTTAGAATATCAAGAAGGTGGGTTCAGAAGAGGTGGATAGAAACCAGAGGTGGGATTCAGCTGGTTCGGACCAGTTGGGGCGAGCCGGATGTTAATTTTAATCTGGTTCGCCGAACTGGTTGTTCCAAGGACTGGCTGACCCACCCGCCCCTCCCTGCCCCTCCTAGGAGTCTCCACGTGGCCCGTTTTGGATGCCAGGTAAGTGCAGGGCGTGTGTGGAGGCTCTGGGAGGATGAAAAACGGGTCTATCAGAAGTACCGGAAGTCTGGAAACAGGCCCGTTTCTGTCCTCTGGAGGGCCTCTGGGGCTAGGAGAAGGCCATTTTCGCCCTCTCAGAGGCTCCAGGAAAGCCTCCAGAGTCTGGGGAGGGTGAAAATGCACCCCGTGCTGTGGTGCAGGAGGCTGAGTAGGCCACGTCCCCATGGCCACGCCCACCCAGCAACCAGGCAGTGAACTGGTTGTTGAAATTTTTCAATCCCACCCCGATAGAAACAGTCCTCTGTTTGCTGGGATAAGGAGCCAGAATTACCTGTTTAACAGCTGTAATCGTAATCACAAAGAAGAGAGGAAGGCCGCTTGTCACTGGGCTGGTTGGTGTGTCCACGATCACCTAAGCAGAGATGCAGAAAAGCTACAGAATTAAAGGCAACAGCTACTCCTTCTAAATTGGGTGCCAGGTGATGGAAGCCAACAAGGGAAGAGGTGATCCAAAGTCAAAAGAGCCTTCCCAAGCATTTTAGTGTGTTCTTATTTGGTGGTTGGAAGACCATCAGGAATTTGGGACGGTCTTCCGGAGTGATCCTGCGGAAGAGTCTGCCACTTGAAGGCATCTTGGGAAGCACCCGTTCCAGATCATCTAGAGCAGAGGTGTCAAACTCAAGGCCTGCAGGCCGCATCCGGCCCTTGGGGTGCTTAAATCTGGCCCGCAGGGCTGCCCTGAAAACAGCAAAGTGCCTCTGCCAGCGAAAACATTGCTTGGGAGGACTGCGCACGGCCCACTTGGGCACCGTTTTAGGCCGCAACGGCCTCCTGCAGCCCTCTGCCAGTGAAAACGGAGCTTGAGGAGGCTGTGCGCAGCCAAAAAAGAGCTTCGGTGAGTGACATCGAGCTGGCCATGCCCACCCCGTCCACGCCTACCCATGTCAGCTTTGGAAGCCATATTAACCTCGGAAGCTTCCACGCTGCCACCTTCCGGTGCTTGGGAAAGTAGGAGGGGGGGATTTGATAGAGTTTTGTTAGACATAATAGCATTCTTCTTTTCGGTCAAAGTCAGGGTGTTCCTGCATCTGGAGGAGGAGTGGTTGCAGTGGGGCCTCAAGATGGGATGGATGGTGATTAGGCCATATGATGCACTGATAGGTACAGGGCAGGGGTGAAATGCTCCCGGTTCAGACCGGATCGCCTAATCCGGTAACGATAGCGGCAGGTGGTTCAGAGAACCGGTAGCAAAAATCCCTGCCGACATCCCCCATGCCCAGCTGAGCCGCGCGATCATCAGAGGCTGTTTTTTTTTACTTTTTAAAAAAGTAAAAACCTCTTTGGATGAAAAAATGCTTTTAAAAGTAAAAAAAAAAGCCTCTGATGATTGCGCGGCTCAGCTGGGATCATCAGAGGCTTTTAAAAGCATTTTTTCTACAACCTCTTCAGCCGAAGAGGTTGTAGAAAAAAAATGCCTTTAAAAGCCTCTGGTGATTCCAGCTGAGTTGCCTGATCTTCAGAGGCTTTTAAAAGCATTTTTTTCTGCAACCTCGTAAGGTTGTAGAAAAAATGTTTTTAAAAGTAAAAAAGAAAAAGTTGGCCACACCCACCCAGTCACATTATTCCTCCAAGCCACGCCCACAGAACTGGTAGTAACAAATTTTACATTTCACCACTGGTACAGGGGCTGGATTTGGGGTTTTGATTTATTGAAAACTCGGAACTCTCAGATTCGGGTTTTCCCAGATGTGCCAGTTTACCTATTCCAATAAATGAAGGATTTGAGATGACGCTTGTCTCGTAGTTTTTTATTTGGAGTTGGGTTGTTCTGGAACGCTGATACCCCATCCATGCCCCCACAGGTCAGACACAATCCTGAGGCGGCCCTCAATGAAATCGAGTTTGACACCCCTGATCTAGAGTCAAAAGATCCTTTTCAGCCCCCAGTTTTCATTTTGGAACATCATTTCTCAATGATTTGCCCTAAGCACTTAATCTGCCCCAACATGCTTATGTCAGAGGATTGATCAAAAATCAAATACTTTACAGAAAGATTATGCAAATCTCCACGTGTGGCCACGCGTCTCTTCTGGCATGGTTCTCTACAACCAGTTAATTAATTTTAGACTAAGCTACCTGTCACTGAAAACACAGGAAAGCCACACCCACGGCCGATGGCAATTTTGATTTATCCCTAATTACGTAACGTTCCTTCGCCTGTTTCAAAGCCTTCAGGCATTGGGGAAGATGCCAGGAGATATCATGGCAACATATGAAGAAATATGTTCTATTTCGCTCTATTTCTTTTCTTTGGGGTGCAGCAAGAAGAGATTGGACTGACATTTGTCTTACCTGGACAAGGAAGATGACAAGAAAGTAGAAATTGGCAATTCTTCGGAACTGTTCGAACAGATTCTTGGGAAGAAAATTCCAGACTGTGTACTGCAAGTCAGAAAACAAGATGGGATCCAGCTTAATACCACCAAAGGGCAGATTTTATAGGACTCTTCCTTATTTGCTGAGCTCCAAATATGCGAGGTTGTTGTTTTTTTTAAAACTCTTTTTAAAGCATTCTTTTCATTTTGAGAATGTATCCATCAATTCTATGAATTCTGTTTAGTCTGCTACCAGCCCACCAGGGAACAAATACAGTTTTCAAAATGACTTTGAAAAAGTAAAAAGCTAGAAGTCGGACCTTAACGAATGTATATGCTCTAAGTTTAATATTTAATTATGAATTTCACATGCTGCAAAATTGTATTCAAACTCCCCTAATCCCAATATAATTACATGTGTCATTACCAAAAAAGGAAAAAAAATGATCGAAACCAAAATTTTGGCCCAAAAGGAAATCAGGAAGTGTGATGGGTTGAACTATTGGATTTGTTTATAGATTTTTAACCTCAGCTTCCTAAAAAAGACAATTCTAAAGAAGTGCCGGATTAAAATGGAAAAGTAACTCAATAAAATACTTCATGGTATATAAAGTTTGGAAGAAAATTAACCAACCCGATGTTTATTAAACACACAAATGGATATATATACAAATACACTTGCTAGATTTAACCTTTCCTGAAATAAAATTAAAAGTCAACAGAGTTACACTCCAAAACTAGCCTAAAAAAAGACTGGGAAAAAAAAACAGGTTTCTACAAACTATGGAAATCAAGATGGTCCAAGATGGTCCTTTTCTGAATTGGAAAACTTTGCAGGCTTTTGGGAACTCTGGATTCTATCTCAGTTCTATAGTTGGGTTCAGCCAAAATTTAATCTGGCTGTTTAGAGGCCAACATGTTGTCTGAATGCAGCTGGCTTAGTCTCAACCATTCAGTAGAAAGAGATATTCATCACTCATATGAATTATTCTTTAGCTTGTGTTAAACAAATCATAGTTTAGTGTATTATGCAATTCCAGATTTTGTATGGACTGGGATTAAAATATTAAAAAAAAAACACCACACACCATGGGGTTAGGTATGCTAATAGACTCTAAAGCAGAGGTGTCCAATCTTGGCAACTTTAAGACCTCTGGACTTCAACTCCCAGAATTCCTCAGCCAGCCATGATGAGGAATGGCTGGCTAAGGCTGCGTTGAGTTGAAGTCCACAAGCCTTAAAGTTGCCAAGGTTGGATAACCTTGCTCTAAACTCTTTGATACTGGAATTGTAAAACCAACAAGACCTAAGGTCCGTTCCCATATCTTAAGTCGGACTACAGCCTCCATCATTCCCAACCAGCATGGTCTATACACCTGGAAACCTCTAGAAGGCAACCAGTTGTGGAAGGACCTTCTAATCTTGATCTAAGGACGCTCTGCACGGATCACCCTCAAGCTGGCCATGGCGCAGAGGGATCCAACCAATGAAGTTCCATCAATCCATACCTTGGAGGAGACAATTTGATTGGAGCAGAACTTTTGGGGCACATAAGCTTCAATATGAGGAATTAAGTGGTGACCAACCACTACAGTCCGAGTCCCAACACGCTTTTCTTCCCCAGCGAACTATAAAACAAGAAAAAAAAAACAAACAAGGAAGTTGTCAACGATGCATATTTTTGTGTGTGTTAATGTTCTTGGCATTTGGCCTTCTACACATGCAGATTTATGCGTGAAGGTTCCTTGCCAATCAATAAAGTCAGCTTTCTCCAACTGGTGCGGTCATATTGTGTGGAGAGCACCAATCCCACATTTTTCAGCTAAGATGTAGACCAAGAATGGACAACCGCATCAATGCACTGGCAGGATACCACGTTGGAAATCATCTGGTTCAAGTGGCAGCTGTGAACAGGCCGTTCACATTGATTTCTGGGAAAAAGTCCAATCGTTCTTCCATCTGAGGAAAAGCAGATTCTCCGGATATCTCGAGGTATCCGGCAGAATAGCCCCCACAAACAGCGATAATTCTAATTATTATTTTTTAAAATTCTTTTAAAGCAGCGTCTAGAATTTTCTAGCAATCTGACGATTCCGATCTCTCTTATTATGCAAAAATTATGCCGTTTTTCCCGTTATGCAACATTTGTGCGATAGATAGTAATGACAATTTTCCTCAACAGCAGAAAACCTTGTGCCAAAAATTGACGGTATTTTTCTCCCATGTTTTAAATTCTAACCGAGTCATCCCACTCGTTATTATTACCCTGTTTCCCCAAAAATAAGACATCCCCTGATAATAAGCCCAATCAGGCTTTTGAGTGCATTCGCGAAAATAAGCCCTCCTCCCAAAATATCTAAACGCATGTACAGGTGGTCCCTGCCATTTCCTCTGGTTAGGGTTAGGGAGAAAGAGCTGGAAATCAGGTAAGACGGCAAGAGGAACCCCGTCTTGCTCCACGCGCCCCCAAATAATAAGACCTCCCCGAAAATAAGGCCGAGTGCTTATTTCAGGGTTCAAAAAAATATAAGACGGGGTCTTATTTTCAGGGAAACGTGGTATTATTTTTTAAAAAGAAATGCCTTTCCATCCAATTAGAATCCACAGTGCAGGCAAAGAAGAACATCCAACAAAGAATTGGGACAGTAAATGTTTTGAAAGTACAAAAAAATAAATATTCCCACAGAGCTTCCGAACAACAGAGGTAACAACATGAAAGAGGCAGTGTCAGTAGAATTCCCCAATCTCTGAAAATTGAATTATGCATTTCCGCTGATCTGGAAAACATTCAGTGGGAAAAAAGATTGGCCCTATTCATTTTTGTCCCTCCTGTTTAGATGCTAGATGGAAATTCAAGAGAACAATCTGGAAGCAAAGGCTTCCACCTTTCCACCACCACATTGTCGTCAAGAAAACAACACAAACGTTCTGGGGACCGACAAGTCTTGTTCAACTGGATGACATAACTAGTTTAGTAACTGGTTTAGTTCATTTGATAAACCACCCATTTCTGAAGACGTCGGATTTAACAGATCAGGAGAGCATCCATTTTACTTCTCATAATACCACCACAGCAGATCTGAAGGAACAAATTGGACAATTCTGGACTTTTCTAGATCAAATGGAAATCCACACTGAAGCCTGCCTGAATCCTACAAGGCTGCCCAGAAGAGCCAACTCTACCACTAACACACAGACTCCAATCCCATGACAATATCTGCTGTACATCAGAAGCATCTTCACCAACCATCTTTGCTGGCATATATGCCAAGAACCTTCTTCACCAGAAGCCTTCTACCATTCTGGAGGCAGTCTAGTTAAGTTCTGCAGAAGTTCCTCAGTGAAAACCCATTTTGAACTGAAGTTCCCCTTCCAAAGAAAACCCTCCGTTTTTCTTCTGAAACAGGCCCCTACCATAGAGCCATCAAGGCACGTTCTAGAGAATGCAGATGGATTTGAAGGAACCTCACCCTGTAGAGCTCAGAAATTGCCCCCAGAATCAAGTTTAGTTTCAGAGATTCAAACTTTCCTAGTTGCGGAAAAGTTTCCATGTGGTTTTAAAGTGCCAGGAAAGAAGGAGGAGGGAGGGAGAGAGAGGGAGGGAAGGAGGGAGGGAAGGAAGGAAGGAGAGAGGGGGGAGGGAGAGAGAGGGAGAGAGAGAGATCAACGTACTGTTGCTGATTCACAGTCCATCTTTATCCAGTCCATAATGGAAAACGGAAAAGGACTCAGATAAAACTTTGCAGTAACTTTTTGTTTCTTCTTCTCGCCTATGACCTATATAGTCTCTCTGGTTTCAGATTGGCTAAAGCTCCAGAATATTTTTTTTTTTTTAAATGACTTAAACATACACCCTCAAACACTTCTCTGGAAAAAGCTGGTCGGAATCCAAAAAACAAAACAAAACGAAAAAAAAAAATATGAAGAATATGTCCTTCCTCTTTTGGCTTTGGTGGGCGAAGGATTCGTGGAAGTAAAATTATAGCCGGGTTGCCGGGAAGGTGGAAGGAAAGTCATCGGGCTAAAAACTCTCCAGGGCATCCTGAATTGGAAGATGGGTTGTTGACATTTTGTGTGATGTGCGGCCAGATTTCCTCATGGTTGTGTCAGTGGACATTCTTGTTCCTTCCACCCCATCCTTTTTTTAAAAAAAAAACTGTGTGAAGATTAAAATCTTGGAAGACCCTTCCAAGATATTTCCATGTGGGATGGAAGCACACCCTGCCCCCTAGATTTCCAGCTTGTCCATTTTCGTCTCTAGAATAGAAACTGTATTTTAGTGTATCCATCTCTGTCTCTCTTTCTCTCTTTCTTTCGTTCTTTCTCTTTCTTTCTTTTTCTTTCTTTCTTTCTTTCTTTCTTTCTTTCTTTCTTTCTTTCTTTCTTTCTTTTTTCCTTTCCTTTCCTTTCCTTTCCTTTCCTTTCCTTTCCTTTCCTTTCCTTTCCTTTCCTTTCCTTTCCTTTCCTTTCCTTCCCTTCCCTTCCCTTCCCTTCCCTTCCCTTCCCTTCCCTTCTTCTTTCCTTTCCTTCCTTTCCTCCTTCTTTCCTTCCCTTCCCTTCCCTTTTTCCTTTTTCCTTTCTTTCCCCTTTCCCTCTTCCTCTCCCTCTCCCTCTCCCTTTCCCCTATCCATCCATCCACCCACCCACCCACCAGGATGCTGGATGCTCAAACACCATAAAATCGAGGGCAGCAATCTGTCTGAACCCCAAACTTAGATTCACACACACTGCTACCCCTGGCTTGCTTTAATCACAGTTTGTCCAAAGCTAAGCTTCAAATCAATGGGTTGCACCCGACACAGGTAGGATCTGAGCTACTTACTAAGCCAAACCGTAGTCTGCTTGGTTTCTGTGTAGCTTGCTGAAGGTATCTAACACAATTTAAGCCATGATTTAAGGCTCAGTGGGAGGTCTGAATCCAGGAATTTGTGACGGTCAGTAAACCCAAAGACACAAACCTAAGTTTAGTAAGAGACATCAACTCTATCTCTGACTTACTATATTCCAAAGGTCTTTATCAGAATTACCGTTAAGATGATGAAGGTGATCGCTGACAAATATGACACAAATGTAAAATGAGATCAGATAGTTCTCTTCTCCATTTCACAAAGAGAAGTAGCCCCAAAATTTTGGGCCCCAATTCCCATAAGCCACAGCAGCATGACCAAGAGCATACAAAACCACAATATGAAACACCCTAGGGAACTACATAGCCCATCTTACATTAGGACTAGCAAATTTCCCCCACGGCCAACGCATCAACCCATCCCTTTGTCCCAACTCACACGCCATTTAATTCATCTATCCCACCCTAATTATTGTCATCCGCCTTTCAAATCTCCAAAAGGTGGAAAGGCGGCTTACATACAACACACAACAGAAACAATGCTTGTTAAAAACAAGGTCAACGACTTTGATCTCAGCGCCCACCGTATCTGGCGGTTTGGGGTCCATGGAAAGTTCTAGAACAGCAATGGGGGAACCCCCAGGCTGGGGTACTCAAAGCCCACAAAGATGGTCCAGCACTAGCAAAAAGTGGGAGATGCTGTCCCTGGGAAGGTGTTTCCATGACAACCGGCCAGCCACAGGACTGGCAGTTGGCTATGGAATTCCAGCATCCAGAACGAGGAGCGAAAAAAATCTGGAAATGTCCATATGAAACTGCATCTGTATTTTTTAAAAAAAGACACAAGAACACATCTGTATTCACATCTATATACAGGAAACCACATCTGTAATTTTTAAACAAGGCACAGGGCGCGTCTGTATACACATCTGCATAAGGAAATGGCATCTGTATTTTTAAACAAGACCCAGAGACACAGCTGTATGCACATCTGTATACAAGCAACTGAATCTGCAGTCTCCTAAAAGAAATAGGGACAGATCTGTACACAGGAAACCACATCTGTAAATTTTTGAAACCCCCCCCACAGGGTGCATCTGTATTCACATCTGTATGCAAAACACCTCTACCTTTAATTCCATGTACTGTGATTGTAAACAAAAGTCCAAAATGAAAAACAAGGCAAACTGAAATCACTTCCATAAAACTACAACTAAGTTACTTGAGGAGGTAGAGGGGGGAAAAATAGGCTATTTAGGAAGGGGGAAAAGGGATATTTTTGTTTGAAAAACATCCCTTGAAAGAATCTAAACCAGAAATCTCTTCCAATTAAAATAGACAATGAAGTGAACACATCAGAGGTGGGTTTCAGCAGGTTCGGGCCAAATCTGGAGAACCGATAGCGGAAATTTTGAGTAGTTTGGAGAACCGGTAGTAAAAATTCTGACTGGTCCCGCCCCCATCTATTCTCTGCCTCCCAAGTCCCAGCTGATCGGGAGGAAATGGGGATTTTGCAGTCACCTTCCCCTGCCACACCCACCAAGCCACGCCGACAGAACCAGTAGTAAAAAAATTTGAAACCCACTACTGAAGCACATGCTTTTCTTTTTCCTATCCGCTTCGCATGGATTTACAGACCCAGCATATTTATTTTGACTCTTGAAAATATTATCTGAAGCAAAACATCTTATTTATTTTTTTTCCATTAAATTAATTCTTAAAAATGAGAGAGAGGGGAAACAACAAACACAGAAAACGTCTTTTTCCTACTTAAGAGTACCC